TCTCGGAAAAAGCAAACTTCAGCAGTACCGTTATTCAAGAGATAGTTACAGCCATAAAAGAACTAGAAAAGACACCGCAAGCACAAACTACAAGCAAAATTATAGCCGAAACAATACGCAACATCGTTAGCAAAGTTGTCAAAGAATACGTGGAAGAGACTACTTACCTAATAGTAAATACTATGGACAACACCTCGACAACACAACTTGCCAGAGCCCTAAGCGCCGCTGAGTCAGTGGAGAAACGCTTGAGGATAACGGAACAAACTGAATCCCAAGTGGCAGCAGAACTGGTTAGAGCCCTATGTGAAAGCGCTAGCATTACTAGCATTACCTTACCCGAATCTCATCGTGCCTACATCCGGGAGCGATTTGGCAGCAGCGTCGCAACCTTACTGACAACTCTACAAAAACCCGCATCTCAATTGTCTACTTCAGGTTCAAGCCAAGAAAGCCATCGCCTTCATCTATCGCATGCTGTAAAAGCCTTGACCGCGGAAACCCAACATCTGATCCAGATTCTGCGCAAGTACGAACACCATGAGGACATTTCGAAGACCATCGAGTTCCTCAGCCAAGAAAATGTCGCTCTCAGCCATACTGTGATCAACCGCATGACTTCAATAGTTCAGAATTTCGAAGCACAGTCAACGAACGCGGAAGCAACGGCCACAAACATTGCCACAGGTTTCCGTACGTTCCTGAGCGAGACTATTCGCGAGCTCACAAGTAAGGAAGTTACCCGTGAAGTTTCTCTAAGCCAACCAGAGTCAAGTCTGATGACCACGCTTCTGGTAACTCTATACTCTCTGGAATCAGTCATAGTGAGATCCACAAGCACATCAGAGCAATCCAGCCAAGTTAACGTATCTTTGGGACAGCTCCAGCGACCAGAAGAACTACGGGAGACGAGCATAAGTTTAGCTGAACGTAGGAGATTGCAGCTGATTCACAGCATAGAAGCTACTCATGAAGAGCAAACCGAACTGATCAAGGCATTGAAGAGATATGAAGAACATCGCGAAATTACCGAAGTTCTGGACTTGCTGGAAAGGAATAAAGTCATCCTCAGCCGTAGGGTAACCTCCCAAATGATCTCAGTTCTGCAAGAAAACCAGAAAGTGCAATCCAGAGAAGTTCATCGGCAAGTAGTGGAGAAGCTACGCACTGTTCTAACTCAAGATGTCCAGCAACTGACCGAACATTCGACCTTCGCCCTTTGGCGCACGGCTCAACCAACGACATCTTTGGCTACCCTTGTCATGACTATAGCATCAATAGAAAGGATCGTGGCTAATGTAACAGCGCCAGAAAACGTGCAAGCTAGAATGGATGCATCGCTACTGAGGGAGGCAAGTGAAAGCGTGTCCTCCGTATTGCCTGAAGCAATGAGGTCAGATCTGGAGGCGCTGCTGGGAGTAAGTGGAATTAGCCAAACCGCCAACTTAGCCCAAAGAGAACCTCAGGAAAGCGCTGGAATCAGTATACCAGAAAGACAACGTGTCCTGTCTTCCTTGTCGAGCAGCGAATACGGCTCTCAAATAACTCAGACTGACTTCTTCTCGGGTTATCTTGTTTCACCACAACCAAGCGCAGAAGAAGCCACCGTCATGCGCAAGATGGCGCAGGCGCTATTCTTACGCTGCGCAATCAAGGCCACCCAAGATGAAATGGAACAGATGTCCGTATCATTAAACCGCGCTTTGGAGGAGGATGTTGCTAACAAAGTGATTTATCTGGCAACGGCACAAGGAACCAATCTATCAACTTCTGCTGTAGAGGAGATCCAGAAGGCAGTGGAAGTAAAACTACAACATTCCGAATCGTCAGAAGAAGCAAAGAGAGAAGCCCCTGAGAGGATCAAGTCTGCTTTAGCTAGAAGCATACGCACCCTTACCGATGAAAATGTGTACGGCCTTTGGGAAACAAGAACAACGAGGGAGATAGTAGAACTAGTAAATACTTTGAAACTTCTGGAAAGCGTAGCCCTGGACGCTTTCGAGCCGACAGAAGCTGCTACCGAGTTGGTTAAGAAGCTCAGAAGAGAAGAGCCTCAGCAACTTCTTACCAAGATCTTGACTGAAATTGAAAGAATCTCGGTGAAGAGAATCTTCTTCGAATCAAGAACAAGTTTGGAGCATGGCCTTGAACATAGATCAATCTTCGCTGAAGCATATGGCCAATTGCCAGATTATCAGCGCTCAAGAGCGTGGGAAAATGTCAGGGAACAAGGAGAAGCCCAGGCTGAGATGTCTCTTACTAGTGGAATTCTTGAGGTGGGTCTTTCTCGACATGAAGATGCCAGCAAAACCATACAGACCGATAGAAAGTTAGCTGTAGAGGCAACAGCATCAGCTACGAGAGAGGAAGACACAGAGATCAGGATGGATTTGATACAGCCTCGTGACGACGCCATGGATGTAGCAACCAATAGGAGAATCCCGGTTACCGTAACCACGTCTCTCATTGGCCAAGCTAGTACCACGAGTGATACTGCCACTGAGCTGACGCTCAAAGTGCCTGAGCAAAGTGTGACTTCAGACTTCGTAGCAAAAGACCGAGTCGTATTGGAGGATAGTGTGAAGATTGGAGAAATTTCCGAGGAAAATACCCTTAGTACGTGGAAAACAGCGGAAAATAGAGCGTACAGTGAAGTTACTCTAAGTGGTAAAGCGAAAGAACGCGATCAAATGCAAAGTACGATCCAAGCAAGCAAAGAAACTGTAACACAAATGGAGCAAAATCTGGCACGAGTCCAAGAGCTAAGCGCCGAAATGCAAGTAAGGGCCGTAGAACAGCAAAGCGACAGCAAGCAATTTAGCGCTGACAGCCGAAGCGAGCAGTTCCTGATTGAAAGTAAACAAATAAACCAAGCCAACGAATCTGCAACCATTCCAGACATATCTCGAACGACAGCTACATCTACAGCACGCGAATTCGGGTTTGAATCTATAGGCACCCTGGGCTCATACGGGTACCTACAGCCAAAGCAGGAACAGCAAGCAGGCATTGAATCTTCATTACCGGAAGGACGACGTTTGATGGGAGAGAAGACTCTGCTTGCTCCAAGACAAGAAGTACTGGAAATAAACGAGATTCTTCGAAGAGATGTGAGAGGCACGGCTGATGCATTGACATACACTAAGACAATGGATAAGTCGGCACTGACGACGACAGCGGCACAAGATGAAAGGACCATCAAAACTGTGGACTACTATCAAAGAGAACAGATATACAACGCTGGGACCGAGCTGGAGCAGAAGGTGAAGGTTGTGGCTGAGAAAGTGATGTACGAAGCTGGCGACGAAGCAGCATTTGGAATTTGGAAGACGGCAGAGCAGCAAGAGACTCAAACCACAATTTCTCGAGGTCTTGGTTCTCAGGAGCATTCGTCAAAAACAGTGCATGCGCCAGTGGAGGAAACAGTACTGGCTTCTGGCGATTTCAAAGAGATCAGTACGGCCGAGACCTCATCGACACTTAAACTCGAAAAAGCGGATTCCACCAGTAGAGCATTTTCGATTGAACGAGAACAACAGGATATCAAACTAGAGGTTCAAGACTCTATCGCCAGCCAATTCGTAACTCGTCCCGAAATTTCGACTGCTTCAGAGAAAACCTCGCTGCACGAATTCGGCGCAGAACAACTTATTGTTGGCGGAATCTTAGGCCACTTAATCCCGAAGAAACCTGAGACAGCTGAAACCATGACCCAAATCACACAAAAACCTCATCTCTCTGCTGCAACAACGATGTCTGCAAGTACTGAAACCAACATCCAAACAAGTGAGACCATGCTGAAGGAAGAAGCCATGAAATCAACGATGTTCGAAAGCTTAGTGTCGAACAAAGAAGAAACCCTACTGGCTACCTCTGCCACAACAGAAGAACAAGCCGACGTAGATTTCCAACGCAAGAGAGGATCACTCTCGTATGGAGTGGGCAAATCTGTGCTGTCCGCAACTACAGAAGCAGCAGAAATCAAAAGCAAAGAGACTAGCGACAATGCCGTCTTTGGAATCTGGGACTCCAACATCAGAAGCGAGACCTCTCAGGCAACGTTAAGAGAGAAAAGTCTAGAGACTTCTGAGGCAGTTCTATCTACCAAGGCGACTGAAGAGTCTGGAATGGTTTCAGAAGTGGATCTATCAAAGCAACCAGCTGTTTCTATCAGTTCGACTCTGCCGCAGGAAATGAAGGAACAGGAGAAGAGAGGCTTCACTATCGAACAGCTTGATGTCACTACTAGCTATCAACGCTGTGCAATGGGCGAAATAGCTGTTACTACTGAGAAAGACACATTGCTGGTGTCGTCAAGTGGATCAGCCAAAGAATTCGTCAAGGAACAAGCTGAAGTCGTTGCTGTTCTGGGATCAATACAACCTAAGCCTGAGCAGTTTGACAGCGTCTCTGTGAAGCTTAGTGATAGTAAGAAGGTTGAACTCGAACAGAGAATGAAAGCTGCAGAAGAGGAAACTAGGGAAAAACAACTTTCCCTCGAGAAGCACGAAGCGAGCTTGGAGTCTACAAAAGAGCTAAAGGAAACTATTGTAGAAAAAGAAATTCGTTCTACCAAGGCCAGCGAGGATGCCACAGCAAACCAAATAGTCGAGCTCACCGAAGCAGATCTGCTAGAATTTTCGGATGTTCGACTGAAAGCCAGAAACGTGACCGAAGCTTCTACAAAAGTCCAAGAAAGCAGAGAAGAAGCAGTGCAAGGGCTGTGGAGTACACCGTCTGGAGCTGAGGCCAGCTTCACACTTAAAGAGAAGGAGAAATCAGTCGAAAGCGGACTGCTCTCTGCGAAAGCCGCTGCTCAGGAAGAGGTTGCTATAACTGAGGAGAAGATCAAGGAAATTGTAGCTAGAGCTGAGAGTACTGTGGCTGAAAAGCAGAAGACAGATACCTCAAGGAGCTATGCTATAGAAGTAGGAACAACCACTGAAGAAGTGACAAAACCTTATTCCGAAGCTGCTGTAAGAGAAGAACTGGCCCAAAAAATTTCTGCCAATGTCAGCGGTGGATTCAGAGAATTCTCTCAAGAAGAGACTGCTCTAGGCCTTGTCGCTCACA